TGTTGTAATTGTAATGGCTGTGTTAACTGTAACAGCTGTTATGGCTATACTTCTGTTGTAATTGTAATGGCTGTGTTAACTGTAACAGCTGTTATGGCTATACTTCTGTTGTAATTGTAATGGCTGTGTTAACTGTAACAGCTGTTATGGCTATACTTCTGTTGTAATTGTAATGGCTGTGTTAACTGTAACAGCTGTTGTTGGCTATACTTCTGTTGTAATTGTAATGGCTGTGTTTAACTGTAACAGCTGTTATGGCTATACTTCTGTTGTAATTGTAATGGCTGTGTTAACTGTAACAGCTGTTAAGGCTATACTTCTGTTGTAATTGTAATGGCTGTGCTTAACTGTAACAGCTGTTATGGCTATACTTCTGTTGTAATTGTAATGGCTGTGTTAACTGTAACAGCTGTTATGGCTATACTTCTGTTGTAATTGTAATGGCTGTGTTAACTGTAACAGCTGTTAAGGCTATACTTCTGTTGTAATTGTAATGGCTGTGTTAACTGTAACAGCTGTTATGGCTATACTTCTGTTGTAATTGTAATGGCTGTGTTAACTGTAACAGCTGTTATGGCTATACTTCTGTTGTAATTGTAATGGCTGTGTGTTAACTGTAACAGCTGTTATGGCTATACTTCTGTTGTAATTGTAATGGCTGTGTTAACTGTAACAGCTGTTATGGCTATACTTCTGTTGTAATTGTAATGGCTGTGTTAACTGTAAAGCTGTTATGGCTATACTTCTGTTGTAATTGTAATGGCTGTGTTAACTGTAACAGCTGTTATGGCTATATACTTCTGTTGTAATTGTAATGGCTGTGTTAACTGTAACAGCTGTTATGGCTATACTTCTGTTGTAATTGTAATGGCTGTGTTAACTGTAATGGCTGTTATGGCTATACTTCTGTTGTAATTGTAATGGCTGTGTTAACTGTAACAGCTGTTATGGCTATACTTCTGTTGTAATTGTAATGGCTGTGTTAACTGTAACAGCTGTTATGGCTATACTTCTGTTGTAATTGTAATGGCTGTGTTAACTGTAACAGCTGTTATGGCTATACTTCTGTTGTAATTGTAATGGCTGTGTTAACTGTAACAGCTGTTATGGCTATACTTCTGTTGTAATTGTAATGGCTGTGTTAACTGTAACAGCTGTTATGGCTATACTTCTGTTGTAATTATAATGGCTGTGTTAACTGTAACAGCTGTTAAGGCTATACTTCTGTTATAATTGTAATGTAATGGCTGTGTTAACTGTAACAGCTGTTAAGGCTATACTTCTGTTATAATTGTAATGGCTGTGTTAACTGTAACAGCTGTTATGGCTATACTTCTGTTGTAATTGTAATGGCTGTGTTAACTGTAACAGCTGTTATGGCTATACTTCTGTTGTAATTGTAATGGCTGTGTTAACTGTAACAGCTGTTAAGGCTATACTTCTGTTGTAATTGTAATGGCTGCGTTAACTGTAACAGCTGTTATGGCTATACTTCTGTTGTAATTGTAATGGCTGTGTTAACTGTAACAGCTGTTAAGGCTATACTTCTGTTGTAATTGTAATTATAATGGCTGTGTTAACTGTAACAGCTGTTATGGCTATACTTCTGTTGTAATTGTAATGGCTGTGTTAACTGTAACATCTGTTATGGCTATACTTCTGTTGTAATTGTAATGGCTGTGTTAACTGTAACAGCTGTTATGGCTATACTTCTGTTGTAATTATAATGGCTGTGTTAACTGTAACAGCTGTTATGGCTATACTTCTGTTGTAATTGTAATGGCTGCGTTAACTGTAACATCTGTTATGGCTATACTTCTGTTGTAATTGTAATGGCTGTGTTAACTGTAACAGCTGTTATGGCTATACTTCTGTTGTAATTGTAATGGCTGTGTTAACTGTAACAGCTGTTATGGCTATACTTCTGTTGTAATTGTAATGGCTGCGTTAACTGTAACAGCTGTTATGGCTATACTTCTGTTGTAATTGTAATGGCTGTGTTAACTGTAACAGCTGTTAAGGCTATACTTCTGTTATAATTGTAATGGCTGTGTTAACTGTAACAGCTGTTAAGGCTATACTTCTGTTGTAATTGTAATGGCTGTGTTAACTGTAACAGCTGTTAAGGCTATACTTCTGTTGTAATTGTAATGGCTGTGTTAACTGTAACAGCTGTTAAGGCTATACTTCTGTTGTAATTGTAATGGCTGTGTTAACTGTAACAGCTGTTATGGCTATACTTCTGTTGTAATTGTAATGGCTGTGTTAACTGTAACAGCTGTTAAGGCTATACTTCTGTTGTAATTGTAATGGCTGTGTTAACTGTAACAGCTGTTAAGGCTATACTTCTGTTGTAATTGTAATGGCTGTGTTAACTGTAACAGCTGTTAAGGCTATACTTCTGTTGTAATTGTAATGGCTGTGTTAACTGTAACAGCTGTTAAGGCTATACTTCTGTTGTAATTGTAATGGCTAGGGTACTGGTGACTACGCCATGAACATCTCTCGGTGGATTCAGCATCAAGCCATCAGGCTGAGTGTCCACATCATGAAACCAGTTTCATGGAGATGTCATTACAGCAGATGAGAAGCTCTCATCAAATGGCGGCAGTTCTTTGGATAGAAATTATTTTATGCGAGAGTTCAGACAAGCATCTCATTTAGCAAGCGATGAACGTAATCCTCGGACACAGATATTCAATTGGATGTGTTGACCATTCATGTGATGTGACTGACCTGCGTCTAAGTTACCTATTAACTGCCATATGTAATCAGATCTTTATAGACGAGGACTAGAACAGCGAATCATTTGCAATGTTGGTTGGAATATCTGAACACAATGGCATGTTATTCTTAGCCAGAAGACAGATAACATGTCAATTATTGATTTTTGCAGCAGAACAAATTACTCCACTTGGGATTCTGATTGGGATTGTGACGGGATAGACTTGGGATTGGCTTTCTCGTGGAGGGTAATGGGAAGAGATAAACTGGGATAGATCAAGACATAAATAGGATGACTTTCTGTGAAAATTTGATTACATGGTACAGACTGATTGTGGATGGTGATATACTATCAGCCATCAGCGTTGTACCATACCTGGTTAGCTGCGGCAGTTTAGCGGCAGATGGTAGCACCTAATTAGCGATTGTATCATTACAGTTCAGATTACAGGTCTTTTGCGTCACCGAAAGTACCTGTTTTGTTTGGTCGCTTGATGAGATTAATTTGTTAGTGACATCTAACATATTTCATTCCCTTAGCAAGATGGCTTCTTGCCATGTTTGACGTCATGTTGCTGTACCATGGTGAAACTGACATTTTTAAACAGTAGTACTTACATTTGTCAGACCGCCTCCGTGGTGTAGTGGTTAGAGCGTCCGCCCGGAGAGCGGAAGGTTGCGGGTTCGATCCCCGACCGCATCATACCAAAAGACGTTAAAATATGGTACTTGTTGGTCCCTGCCTGGGCGCTCGGCATTAATGGGTACAACAAGGACTGGTCGGCTCGGAGTCAGTATAATGTGTCTGAGTGGGGTATTCATGCTTCACTGCGGCATGGTATCTCAGTGGGCTAGCACTATAAAACCAGCTTCAGTCTGGGCTAGTACAAACAGCCGCACACACACTTACACACGCATGCACGTCGTCATATGAGCGAAATATTCTCAAGCACGACGTTAAACCCAATTTCACCTCACCTCACCATGGTGAAACCTAAACAGTATTACTTACATTTGTCAATGTACCCATGACATTTGTCAATGTACAAATGTTTGTGTAGATATATTTCCAATCATTAGGTCACATGAATTATTGAAAACTCATCCTGGCACTATTGACAGCTATAAAGCAACAATAGATGCTCGTACTATAAAAACGTGATTGTCAGGTCCAGACTCGATTATTAACAGGAATGTGTCAAATAGCAGCAATATTGTTGATACATTAAAAGAGTGCATGAAAACTAATAACACTAGTTTACAGGGAACAAGTATTCATCATAACACAAATGTTCACAGTTTTAGGGTCTGATGGTTTAAACATTGCTGGACCCAACCCAGCATCTCAAAATATTGTCAGTAATGGGAAATAACCTGCTGCGCATTTTGGAATGTGTTTTTTGAAACGTGTGAAATTAAGAGAGGTTTTATAGAGACATGTGTATTTTCTGAGTAATTCTACTGACATGATATTTGTGACATGCTGCTCGTCTAGCTCACCTGCAGGATTATAAGCTGTGGCCTGTTACATTAACTGTCAGTGGCAGAGCAGATGTTAACATCTGGATCTGTCTAACGCTGTCTGTCCAGACACGCGTATCATACCGGCGACACCTGTTAGTGATGCATTATTGTTATGTCATTATAAAAAGTGCATACTGTTGTTCTGTGGGTTCGGGGAAGTGGGGTAGCCTAGTGGTTAAAGTGTGGGTTCGGGGAAGTGGGGTAGCCTAGTGGTTAAAGTGTGGGTTCAGGGAGGTGGGGATAGCCTAGTGGTTAAAGTGTGGGTTCAGGGATGTGGGGTAGCCTAGTGGTTAAAGTGTTTGTTCATCATCCCAGACATGGAGTTTATTCCCCAGATGGGTACAATGTGTGAAACCCATTTCTGGTGTCTCCCACCATGATATTGTTGGAAAATTGTGGTCTAAACTAAACTCACTCACTCACTACACCTCCCGAACTATGGCACCCATAAAGATCCAGGTTATAATTGGTCTTCAGCAACCCATGCTTGTAGTAAAAGGCGACTAACGGGATCAGGTGGTTAGGCTCACTGACTTGATTAACGCACGTCATTGTATCTCAGTTGCGTAGATCGATGCTCATGCTGTTGAACACTGGTTTGTCTGGTCCAGACTTGATTATTTACAGACAGCCACCATATAGCTGGAATATTGCTGAATGCAGCATTAAACAACAAACCAACCAACCAACCTGAACTATGTTGATCGCTTGGTACTATTTACACTACAACTGTTCTTGATGATATGTTTCAGGGACTTTCCCCATTGACACCACGAAGACGAGGCTTCAGATCCAGGGCCAGCGTATCGATGCACGGCACACAGAACTCAAGTACCGGGGCATGCTCCATGCCATTTTCCGTATCTTCAGAGAGGAAGGCATCCATGCACTGTATTCTGGGTAAGAATTTGTCGTAATTCTACCACCACACAAGCTGCATAATTACATTAGATATTTGCAATAATTAATCATAACCCAATTAATTCTTATATACAAATACTGCCAGCTAGATGGCCATTTGTTTGAAATATGTAGAATAAATCATCGTAACCCAATTAATTTTGAGTTCAAGTTACGCTTGAAATTTAAAAGAAAAATTGGTATATCAACATGCTGCAAAGCAGTAAAGACTTTTCAAGGTTGTATGTTTACAGATCGGTATTTACTGTGAATAATTAAATAAGTTCAGCCTCTCATATGTAACTGTTGTGAGCCTATCATATATGTAACACACTTTGATCAGACTCCGTGGTGTAGTGGTTAGAGCGTCCGCCCGGAGAGCGGAAGGTTGCGGGTTCGATCCCCGAATGCGTCATACCAAAACACGTTAAAATATGGTACTTGTTGGTCCCTGCCTGGCGCTCGACATTAATGGGTACAACAAGGACTGGTCAGCTCGGAGTCAGTATAATGTGTCTGAGTGGGGTATTCATGCTTCACTGTGGCGTGGTATCTCAGTGGGCTAGCACTATAAAACCAGCTTCAGTCTGGGCTAGTACAAGCAGCTGCACATACACATACACACGCATGCACGTCGTCATATGAGCGAAATATTCTCAAGCACCTCACCTCAATCATCTCATGGACAGATGCAAATGAAATGTCACCTGAAACGGCATTGTATGCAGAATGTTTGATATGTTTTACTCACTGATTTTATTATAATGAGACTGGATTAAATATGTATTGAATTTATTAAATATGCACAAAAAAGTATCAGTAGACAATGAATGACACAAGCTGAGTTAATACTCAATGGCGCTTAAAGGTATCTGTAGCACTTCACTATGAAGGGATAAAAAATGACCCCAGAACCACAAGATTGTACCCATGGTTCCAGTCCTCCATGACTTTAACCCCTGATTGGCTATCGATACAGGTAACAGAGATCAATAATCATAAACTGAATATTGATTGATTATCGATAAATAGCGGAAAAGTAACTTTGAGCAAAATACCCCAAATATCTGAAAAAAAATCAACATATTTCAACTTAATGGTGATTGGTGACATACAGGTAAGGATTACTAGCATGAATTCTTGAACATAAGTTATAAACAGTCCATAAATAAATCCCTAACTTTGTGTCTTGTCCGAGTAAATTAATACTTTATTTCATCACAATAGTTCATAAAAGATGTTAGTGATGACACAATATTCATATTGATAATCATTAATATCTTTTCCCATCAACGATATTTCCAATTATCAATCATTTTACCCAGCCCTCACCCTAATCCCCATTTTGACCCTTTCCGGGCCCCAGTTCCACCACACAACCAACAATGATGTCTGATCTTGTCAAATGTTGGATAGAGTACACCTATAGCGATTAGTGTTGGGAATTGGTTGAAATCTCACAATCGATTATTGCTTCATTACCAACAAACAATCATCGAAAAAAATTGGTTAGCGTCATTTTTCAGATTTTCCTATCCAGGTTGTTACTGCAGAAAAGTATAACATGATGCAACTTGTTACTTGAAAGTGATGACTAATATATCATGAACATAAACTTCCTGGAGTCTTAGAGAAATATTTAGTCCTGACTTTTCAGTTAGTGAAGTGAGTTTTCTAAGAAATAAACATGTTTCCAGGCCCTGACAACTTCTAAGATATGTTCCATTGTCAAGTATTTCAAAGGCTAAAACAGTAGTTCCAAAATCATTTATGTTCGATTATATGAAAATTGGATCGATTGCTTGGTCGTTCGGTCACTGCGACCAATCTTCGATTATTTCAATTAATCGGAACACCACTAATAGCGATCCCTGATAATGGTAGACACTTTCACAAGCATTATGTTAATGAGTTGCAGAGTTGATCATCAATGTTGAACCATGGTACAGTTTCATATGATATTGCTATAGTAATTCTACAAACATCGGCAACCATGCATGGCAAGTAGGTAAACAAGTCTGTTGTTCAAAGGGACATCTGATATTGTTGTATGAATTGTTCAATTAAATTGTTAGTGTTTATTGTTTTTGCATGCATACACTGTTTGATGTTTTCATCTAGCTCCAGCTGTGGATGTTAATAAACATTCTGTAATGCTCAGATAAAGTATATGTGTGATTTTATAGTGAAAAAACAATTTACAATATACTGTGTAATGTAAACCATTTTCTGCAACAGTATATGGGCCTTCGGAAACCTTTTTGCAAATGTGACACCCCTATAGACTTGGCACACGATTATAATTCCTTTGTTGGGCGGTGGGGTAGCCTAGTGGTTAAAGCATTTGCTTGACCCGGGCTCAATTCCCCACATGGGTGCAATGTGGGAAGCTATTAAACATAATGCTTTTAAAAATGGTCAAATGTAGTATATGTTTCTAATTGGGATTACACTTTCTCATAAAAGTATAATTTCTAGTAATTTTGCCAGGTTGAGTCCCACCCCTCTGCACAGTGACTAACCCACTGAGCTATCCAGCTTCCACAATATGTAAGCAAGCAAGAATATGGCCAATTTGACACTTGATTATTAGAAATCAATATTCCTACAGCTGTTTACATGTTCATATTCATTTTAATATACACTTATAACATATATCAATTTCTTTTACAATTTTTCAATTTCAGCATTGCCCCAGCCATTCTCCGCCAAGCTACGTATGGCACCATCAAGATTGGAGTGTACCACACGCTCAAGAGGATCGCGAGTCCCAGATCCTAGAAGTAAGTTAGTTGTCACTTCCTTCATTAGCGTAATGAGAGGCCTCTTTTATCGATTGGAAGGCTATTTTAGGACAGGTTCCACGTCTGTTGGGTCAGAAATATTTCACCTGCACATGTCTTCATTTGAAACTAACTTGAGAATTGAATTAGATGCTAAATTATCTTTTTGTAAAAAAAAAGCCAAAATTTTTGTGTTGTTAATTGGATTACAGGATGGTTGTGTCTTCAGTATCAATATGTCAAGATAATTATCACATGTTGATTTAGATATTTTAGACTATATTTGTACTTTTCATTTAAGAGAGTAAATATTCTTGACCAGACTTTAATTTTTAATCCGACTGAAAAGGGACTTTCACGTCCAGAACAATAAACATTCTTCAAAATCAGGAGAGGTTATCAAAATCTACTTGTCTGCAAATCTAAAGGCTCATTTCATTTTGTTTATTGTATTTTGTCAGACTTTACTGTGAATTTGGAAACTATTTTAGATAACTGGTATGAAACGTGTGACATCCAATTCTAGGTATGTGAGTATCTTCTCCGTGGTTTTGCTTGTTTGACACTTTTTGAAACAAATTTGATGGTTTCTGACACACTCTATGTATCTTGTCTTAAATCTTTGTAGATAACTGGATTGTCTGGTTCAGACAAAGTTATTTACATTCTGCCATGCAGTATTAAACAATAAGAAAACATCAACGCTGCTTGACTTATCAAAAAATTTCAACATTTTTATTTCAAGAATATCAATGCACTTTGAGGTGTAATGTCTCTACCGCCAAACCATCATAACTGATATATGGTGTTCAGAGTTACTTGCCCTTGTTTTGGGATACACATGATATCTAACAGAGGGTTGGCTAATACGTTCTCAGTTTCACACAGAGAGTTGTGTGATAGTGGAAGCTTTTGTTGTGGGCATGCCATGGTGTCACAGAGGCATATCCATGAACACATAACCGAAGACTGAAGAGTCTGTAAAATAAACGATTCCTTGACCTTTGGAAAATGGTAATGCTTGAGAATGTGAAAAACGCTCTCAACTTCAATGGCATTTTCATCCGGTGTTATAAATAGTTCGCCATATCGTGGTTATGTGAGAGGAATGATTCATGTTGTGAAGGTGATGGGGAGCTACTGCCAGGAATCATTACTGTTTGAATAGGTTATGGCAGTGTTTAGAACAGGTCTGAAACTGAAGGAGCACACACTTCCATCAAATATTTAGCTGAAATGTCTGGTTCCAAGGACTGGAATATCTGACTTACAGATTCTGAAATAATATCCTAAGGGACCGTTCATAATTTATGGCTGGGGGCTGATGATGGTTTTTATGGAGAAGCATGTACAATGTGAAAAAAAAAATTCAAGATCTCAAGAAATGTGAGGTATATCTGCTTGTTCGTGTACTGGACCATTTGTATTAAGTGTTTGTGTCTTAGCAACCATTTTTATACTAGAAGTAGAACTACTCGAGTAAATGAGTAAATATAACTTATCAAGTTGCTGGAGACATCAGACTTTGTTTTATACATAGTTCATGAAAGTCTTTGAACGGCATTTAGAAGTGATACATATAAAGAATTTATGGATGTCAACTTTCTTTTTGTGAAAAACACAATGTTTCAGAGTATATTCTTCATTCTCACCATTATCTTCCTTTAGAAATGTGTTTTTGGTTTCAAACCAGAAATACCTTTAGCTTGTTCATAGTTGTGGCTATGTCTGGGGACCTAGACTGCCTGTTGTTTGCTTTCAACAGATGAGGTGGATGAGACAGGATTTTGAAATATTGGCTATATTTTCAGATGAGACACTGACGATCAACGTGCTGTGCGGTATCACAGCGGGCATCGTGTCCAGTGCAATCGCCAACCCCACAGATGTACTCAAGGTAGACAAACGTCTTTAGTTTTCAGCCCGCCTGACTCGTAGATTGTTCATAGCAGCTTTAAATCAAACACTGAGTGTCTGCCAAATGTTTAGAGTAAACTCATAAGCTAGCTGTATGTTCTGACGTTGTAAAAATTGGCAGCAAATGATGTTTGTAGGTCCGGCTGCAGGCTCAGGGGACGAGCAGGGACAACATGCTCTACGCATTCCTCAACATCTACCGCACCGAGGGGCTTCCAGGACTCTGGAGGGTGAGTGCAGTTGCCATGGCAACAACAACATTGACTGGGCAGGAGATTGTGAGGTACAAATACATACATACACTCAAAAGACGAGTGTCAAACTTGTGGCGTCCCACAGGGCTAGAGGCATGGTTCAAATGTGCCTCTGTTCACCGTGCAGGGAATGGGTACCTGGTATGTGAGGTGTATATAGGCAGCAGTACTTGTATGCTCCCCAGGGAGTTGGGAATTATAACTGGAATCCACCAATCAGGCAACAGACCATATGTGAGGAGAGATATGTGTGGAAAAGACTGATTTATAATATTAAATATTGTTTGGTTCAGTTGTTCAATAATGCCACACTCAGCAATATTCTAGCTATATGGAGGCGGTCTGTAAATAATCAGTTCTGGACCTGACAATCCAGTGATCAACAATATGAGCATCTATCTCAAATATTGTAATAAGGGTTGAAAGTAATGCTGCATATTGCCATACTAGCATCGTCAGTTGGATGATAGTATACGATTATAGACTCCATATGAGTTGTATATAAACTGTATTATGTACTTATAATATTAGACGTTGATATATTGCAGGGCGTGTTCCCCACAGCCCAGAGAGCGGCCACCGTGGCTGGGGTTGAGCTCCCAGCCTATGATATATGCAAGAAACAGATTATACATTCTGGGTATCTAGGAGACACCAAGACCACACATTTCTTGTAAGTCTTATAGTGACTTTTGAAGTCAGTTTTGTCATAAATTGCTATACAGAGTACTCTACCTTTACTGATCCTGGATCTGCTGAATTTTCCATATGAAATTTCTGATAACGGGGTGAGTGAGTATGGTTTTACGCTGCTTTTAGCAATATTCCAGCAACATCACAGCGGGGGACATCAGAAATGGGCTTCACACATTGTACCCATGTGGTGAATCGAACCAGGGTCTAGTGTGTGATAGGCGAAAAGCTTTAACCACTATGTTCCTCCACTGCCCTCTGATAATGGAATACTCAGTGAGACTTTCATATAAGTTTTGACCCGTGAAGATCCGGGGTAGAATAGGTCTTCAGCAACCCATGCTTGTCACAGAAGGCGACTATGCTTGTTGTAAGAGGCGACTAATGGGATCAGGTGGTCAGGCTTGCTGACTTGGTTGACACATGTCATCGGTTCCCAATTGCGCAGATCGCTGTTCATGATGTTGGTCACTGGATTGTCTGGTCCAGACTCGATTATTTACAGACCGCCGCCATATAGCTGGAATATTGCTGAGTGCGGCATAAAACTAAACTCACTCACTCACTCATATAAGTTTTTATCCAAATAAAGAAGAAACAGGACCAAATTGTCTGCCATTGAACAATTTCCACCCTGATACACCATTTTTTAAGATTTTATTTTTCAGAGCCAGTTTTCTAGCGGGTCTAGCTGGCGCTATTGCCTCCAACCCAATTGACGTGGTTAAGGTGAGATGTCCGTTCTAATCCCTCTATGTCAAATCATTGCTGGTCGGCATCAGGGCTTGAAATTAGTAACACTATCCAGTACTGTGTGAGATATTTATATCCACATGTAAGTTGGTATTGTAAGTTGTTGCATTTCAAAATATGGCCCTTGACTGTGTGTACACATCAGTCTCCTTAATATCAGATCCTGTACGCTGTTACGATACCTCTGTCTGGTGATCACATGACCCCTTCGTGGCACGTCATGGCAGGGTCCAAAAGCAGGGTCAGGCCTGCAAAATATTGAATATCAGTATTAAAGAATGCCAACTGTCGTATCTCATTTATGTTACGAAAACAAGGTTTATGCAAAAAGTTTTGAATGTATCACAAGGCATCTACACTTAAAATGGAATGGAGTACATCTGTTGTCTTGCTGGAGTTTTCATTTTGGTTTTTGTGTTTTGTGTAAAAATTGGAATTTGTGAATTAATATGGTAATGAATGAAGCCAGTTGTTTTGGAAGATGACATCTCATTTGCCCAAAAAACAATGCAACCTTTATTTATCCACAACTTTTTGTACATGTTGTTAAATCTTCGCGCAGAGAGGTGTTGTATCAGTGGAAAGTCTGATTTTAATGAAACTGATATACACATCAAATGTATGGCGACCTATATTCATGAACATGACATTCAACATTTCTTAAAATTTCTATGAATTTACCTCGACTAATAGCAGGGAGGTTATAAGGTTCAGACTTTTCAGGAAAGTGTTTATTGGTAAATCTGTCAGTCAGAAATTATATATGATTATTTATTTTAAAAATATGTTTCAGTTTATTCTGTAATTTCTCAGTACTTCTCAAACTTTATTTTGCAAAATGATAAAACTGTATATCCATAACTTTCAATTAATTATCTTTTCTTGTCTCTTGCACTGATCTATAACAAAACGTGTTGATATTTAACAGTATTGCCCCAGCAGTGATAAATCTTCTAATCCATATGTTTTCAGTGTATTGAGAACAGTTAAAGTCTGATTCTATATTTTCTTAGTCTACTAGCCCAAACCTGGCTCTTGGCACAGATGACAGTATATTGTAAAGATGGACCATTATCACCAGAGCTGACTAGCATTTTATGAGACTAGTCGAACTAGTGGCAAAAGTCGCAGGGTGCATTTATATGAGGAAAAACAAGTTTTGCAAAGCTGACTGCAAGCTCGACACGATGTTCACAAAATTAATATTTGTCTTGGGTTTCATTCAGACGAGCAGCCGACCTAGCTCATTTCCATATTTAGATGCCACAAGGTTATATTTTCATATGATAATGGTGATAGTAATATGTTTTTATGAAAAATGGTAATTTTATCTTGAAACCAATTTCTGATGCATTCTGCTTGGCAGACAGATTTGTATCACAGAAAATAATAAAAAGCTATTTTGCCTGGATGAAATTCAAATTATTCCACCGAGAATAATTTTGACGATTACTTCTTAATGGCACTTGTAACCATGGTAACCAACTAATTAAATTTCAGCATCTCAAAAGTCTAATATTGCTGATATGCTGCTGCTAACAGTTCAATTAAATCTGATTTTATTGACATTTTCATCCCTTTGCTGCTTATTCCTGTGTGCTCAGTCGGGCAAAACCCTCTTAGCTGGCGTCACGGCTTAGTCCTATAACCAACATACGTTCATATCACATGATTTCCTTCTTAAACTCCAAACATTTCATAAATCCTAATTCCTTTAGCTTTTGAAAGTTTAGATTTTTTTATGATTCCAAGTAGGATTTATGTTATATTTTGGTATTTTATGTGATGATAATGTATTTGTAATTCATTGCTATTCGTAAATCATTGAAATGTCTTTTTATCCCAGTTGTTATTCTACCCACATGAGTTGAGAAGAAAAGACGTTAACGCAGGTGTTAAAGATTCTCGCTTGTATTGGCCATTGGCTAGTACTGTGTGTATCACTAGCTGGTTGGTTGTTGTTTTCAAGGTTATTACCCCAGGTTAAAGGAGAGACTCACTCCCTCGCTCCCTCGCTCCGTCAATCTCTCGGCAACCGCCTGCTTCTCTCGGTGTGTACTGGGAGGGAGGTGGACTAGGGCACGTGCTGCGGGAGCCCTGTCCCCAAGTCTCCAGTACTACTCGGCTTCAAACAGTAGTGGGTTTTAGCTAAGTCCTCTCACTTCGTTGTGACTAGATTGTTATACAGGAAAATCATGTGACTTCATCATCATGCTCCGAACAAAAGATGGCACCTCCACAGGAGAAACAGGAATCGTAGTCCTTATCACTCCGCTTAAAATATATTCCTGTTGTTTTAAAGCTGATGGCACAGTTTAATTCATAATTGTATGGTTACGTTCTTGGTGGCTTAAGGCACACTTAGAAACTATACCTTGAGTGTTTATGATGTGAAGCCAAGGATAAGTTGTACAAATAAGTGGGACAAATATTATGGGGAAACGATTAACACATGCACTTTATTTAAGATTAACAGAACTGCACAAACTTAACTACCATTACCTCTTTTGTTTTAGTCGCTTACTTACAAATATGCATGAATAAATTTGATAATATAGTAGTATAACAACATTGCACAAATTGCCCAATATAGCTTTTTCAGTTTGTAAACTTTCATCTCTTTACACATCTTTAGCTCGGACTGTATGCTGGCATTGCTGGAACTCGACGTGACCCACCTTGCTTATTGTAACTTGGACATGTGTCACTGTTAGGACGTCATGTAACATACGACACCCTCGGGATAGCTCTCCAGCACATGCTAATTAGACGTCACTTGGTCATGCTAATTAGACGTCACTTGGTCATGTTAATTAGACGTCACTTGGTCATGCTAATTAGACGTCACTTGGTCATGCTAATTAGACGTCACTTGGTCCTGCTAATTACAAGAAAACCTATGGGGTAACAAAACCCAGTGGACTGATCTCAAGGCAGTGACGATATATCAAATACCCACAGAAGACTATCAATACCACTGTGGATGATATGAGCAAATACTCACTGGCTCAGAGAGGAAAACTTGCTTGTTATCAGACCTTGAGTCTCCCAGGTCAAAGTTGGGTGAGATCATAGGAGACCCTATGATCTTAGACACTGCAGTTTAACTGTACAGATTGCGACCTATGGGACCCAGAAACCCATGTCTGTAGCCTAAACCCTGGATTTTACCAGTTACGGTTCTTGGTTTGGCAGCATCCTAACCGTGCTCATGGATTTCTCCAAGATGATATACTTCTCAGACCTGATTGTCTCAGGCTTTCCTCACACAGCGGACTTGCAGTGATAGCCAATAAAATTGTCTCAAAACAACTTACTTACATGAGGGGGAAAAGTTTTTTTTTTGTGGGGACACCTAGAATTCCTTTCTGTGGCAAACTTAAATTTCAAGGGGCACATCTAAACATCTTTCTTGTGGGCACACTTACAGGGTCCATCTAAACATCTTTCTGTATCACACTTTATATTTTCTTCCTATTTTTCACTTGTAACACTTGTAAAACATTAAATGCAGGTTAGACTATGCATACATGTATTTCCTTCAAAGTTTTGAATGCAGGGATGGTTTAATATAATGACCTTGTCAGTGCTTCATTTTGACCCAAGAGATGATAATTACGAGTCCTCATCATCCATGATGGCCCAAGAGGGATAAGTTAACAGATAAGATGGTGAGACTCGGTGACCCAGTCCCAGGTACAAGTCATCCTACAGAGGCAGCAGAATAGTTCCTAATATCCACCTGGCCTTTCAAAATAAAACAGATCTTAGGATAAGTCATGTTGACTTTTCTTAGTTCCTAAGTAATTCTAAGGCTAGTAATTCCTGTTGATGTTTACACATATAATCTTGAATAGTAATTCCTATTGATGTTTACAAAGATAATCTGTAATAGAAAGGGACTCTTCACTATGAAGATATTAAGTTTAACAGCATTGGAGTCTTCCAGACCTGGTTTTTCAATGTGCAGTTGCCATCTTAGACCATCTTGTCCACCACAAAAATTGAGCAGTGTCTGTTTAGCTATATATTATGTGACTTTTCATCAAGTAATTCTTTAAATGCTTCTGTTTTAAAGGTTCATTCATAGTTGGCGTCCCAGCCAAAATAACCACACGTCTCAACAAGTGATTTGAGCCCCTATATATCACAGTTAGCATACACATGTAACTGTAAGGCTCAACAGATCAGTGGTAGGAGCAACACTTCTTGTTTAACACATATCAACCAAAGTTGATGAAATATGCAATGTTATTGCATGGATGTAACAGAGCAAGCATTGGTTACTTGAAGATTAAACAGTTACATACTGACACAAGTTGTCTGTGAACCAGAATGGACCTTTAAAACAGATAATTGTGTGATATTTTGAATAGATCAGCAATAAAATCATGATTTGTTCACGTACGTGAGTGCAAATATATTGGTAGTTAGTATAAATGTTTCAAAATGTCAGGTTTTAAATTTGGCTAAACATGAAATCCAAATTATGCGTTTTAATAGCGAAGTGTTCGGCCCTGGTGGAAAGAGCTTTCAAATATCCATCCCTTCAATACACCTGCTACCCTTGTCTGTACGCACATTCTCTTGTTTGTATGTCCGTCCATGCCCAGATCATCAACAGCGAGCTTCTTGTTTCAGACACGTCTGATGAACCAGAAGCGGTTGAAAACAGCAGTTATCGGTGATGGAATCACGCCTGCAATCTACACATCAACTTCCCACTGCTTTGTCCAGGTACTGTCGATGTTTGGGGGTTAGAATTGGTCTTCAGCAACCAATGCATGTTGTAAGAGGTGACTAAGAGGATTGGGTGGTCAGGCTTGCAGACTTTCTTCGTATCCCAGTAACCCGTGAAGGTCCGGGTTAGAATGAACCTGCAGTAACCCATGCTTGTCGTAAGAAGCGACTAACAGGATCGGGTGGTCAGGCTCACTGACTTGGTTGACACATGTCATCGGTTCCCAATTGCGCAGATCGATGCTCATGCTGTTGATCACTGGATTGTCTGGTCCAAAATCGATTATTTACAAACCGCTGCCATATAGCTGGAATATTGCTGAGTGCGGCGTAAAACTAAACTCACTCACTCGTATCCCAATTGTGTGGAACGATGCTCATGATGTCATGTCAATCACTGGATTGTCCAATCCAAACTTTGCTAAATGTGAGAGGGAGCACGATCATGTGGTACTGGGTCAATGCTAGCACTCTGAGATATCATCTGCAGAGAATAAGGGGCAGTGAGGTAGCCTAATTGTTATATCATCTGCAGAGAATAAGGGGCAGTGGGGTAGCCTAATTGTTAAAGCGCTCGCTCGTTAAGGTGAAGACCTGGGTTCGATTCCCCACATAGGTACAATGCGTGAAGCCCTAGTATCCAACGCTACCATCGCTGGTATCCAACGCTGTGATATTGCTGGAATATTGCTAAACCAGCGTAAAACCATACTCGCATTCACATGAATATCCAGCTCAGACACAGTATACTAAGAGCCGACCAGTTACTGTTTAAGGCCCCCCTTAATGCCGAGTGAGAGGCAGAGAACCATGAAGCACCAACATATTTTTGTATGACTCCTAGAATCAAAACAATTATCCGACACACTCTATGCAGATATCGTACACACTAGACATTCTAGGCAGTTGCAGTTTTATAACTGACATTAAGTTCCTGCTAAAAAATGACTCAGTATTTTTCCTGTGTCAAATTCAGAAACTATGCTACAAAATATGTCAGGGAAACCTAGTAGGGTTATGTCCCTTAGCTGTAACAGGATCTGCCGACTTACTCCATTATGATCTTTGGTCTAGCAGCATCTTTGTTCATCTTCATCACTGTAGACTTTCTTCCCACATTGAGGGGCAGTGGGGTAGCCAAGCGATTAAAGTGTTCACTCGTCACGCCAGGGTTCGATTCCCAACATGGGTACAATATGTGAAACCCATTTCTGGTGTTCTCCAGCCATGATATTATTGGAATATTGTTAAAAGCTGTAAAACCCAACTCACTCACTCACTCTGCTCACACTAAGCTGATATGCATGGCTTTACTGAAATTGTTTTAGCGTCATTAAACACAAAACTAATGAATATGTCACCATGTGTTTCAGACGGTGAAGACAGAAGGCTTCATGGCCTTGTACAAGGGCTTCGTCCCCACCTGGGTCCGACTCGGGCCGTGGAACATCATTGTATCCTTATGTTAGTCTGCACCAGCAGTAGTGTAACAAAGTCTGCTACTTCACGATCTGTTAGAAAACCCCACGATCTGTTAGTGCTCAGAGACAGAAAGTAGGGGATTTTGATTTTTGTTTATGGCAAAATATTTTCAATGCTTCGTTAGCCTACTGCTTTCAGCCCACATGTTTTTTCTTCTTTTGTTTTGTTTTGAGAATTATTAACCCACAGGAACCATTGTTTATGATTTAAAGACAACTACCTCTTTTAATTCAGGATAATCCCATCCACATCTTCAAATGCATAAATCAAGAAGTTGGATTTGAAAGAAATGAGGTTTTCCCCACTCACACATGTGCATGAGGTATGGGTAGTATACTATTAGTTGCACAACAGATTATGGATAGTTGGCAGTAAGGAGGACTTAATGGTAGTTATGTAATAGACATAGTATTCAGTGAACTAGTAGCAGTGAACGCGTTTTGCGGGGGATATTAAAATGGACTCCGTCTGTGCGTGCGTCCGTCCGTGCACATTTGTCTTTTCCGGCGCAGAACTCTAAAACCGTTCACTATTTCTTCACCGAACTTGGCACATAGATAGATCTGGTGGTGTACGGGTGCCTTTTGGTAGCTTTGGAATTCTGAATAAAATATTTTTGGCATTTTCATGGCAACAAGTTTGACATAGACTGAAATTGGTGGTTGTCCTCTTTTCCGGAGCAGAACTCTAAAACCGTTCAATGTTTCTTCACCAAACTTGGCACATACATAGATCTGGTGGTGTACTGGTGCCTTTTGGTAGTTTTGGATTTCTGAATAAAATATTTTTGGCATTTCCATGGCAACAAGTTCGACATAGACTGAAATTGGTGATAGTGCTATTTTCTGGAGCAGAACTTTAAAAACCTTTCAATACACTCCTTCCACTTTTCTATATACACACCTAAATATTTGACATAATCATAACTTCGAAGACATAATCATGAAGAGTATTTTGCCATTGCGGGGGATATTGATGCCTTTGTCTTCTTGTTTTAAGAGTCTTTTCTCCAAATCAATCTTTTACAGAATTTTAGGAGTGATTTCCTTCTGGTTTTTTTCCCCAAACATTCAACCAATCCTTTTCCCCCATACTTTGGAATCCAAGGAACTTCAGCCATCCAAGAATTCTATTAACCTCATAGAGCCCCCTAGCGTAAGGTAACGTGTCTTGACAAAAATATTAAAGTAACAAAAAGAAGATATTTGAAAAAATACTTAATAATGGAGTGCAAGTTCTTGCAGTCATGAGAGCATGATCTGTGATGGAACATTTTTGAGTCACCCTGAAAACGTGTTTGAAGTGACCGGTAAGCTTGTTCTGGCTGTGAAAAGGGCAGGTAGAAAATTCTCTTGTGCTACATAAAGGTTGTGTGTTTAGGTTGTGCATTCAATAAGTATGGATCGCTGTCTAAGTGATGATTTGCTGTATGTAAGATCCTTAACTTAGTGTAGTTCTTTATGACCTACGAGCATCTGAAGAAGTCGTACTGAAGACAGTCACAGCCAACACATCAAATACTCTGTCAGCACGGGCTTGCTGCTTCAAACACCCGGAGTTCAGAGGTCACGCCACCAGGGGGAGATAACTGTGGACTCTACTGCCAGAACACTTTGCTCAAGCCAACTGGAATCTGTGATACGGATGAATCTCCTTGAATCCTCTTCCTTCAGTTCACATTTTGACAACTTCTGCAACCGGTGATGGTTGGACAGATCAGATTCCTGGAATAATGATATTCTACATTAGATCAAAATTGTACTCTGACTATAATCTGTTTTGTACCTGATTAGAAAGATTAATCTTTACGATGTTTAACTAGAGGACAGACAAAATATGTCTATATTGAATTAATAATTTGAAACCAATATTTAATTAGAATATTGTCCATTTGGGTTATGAGAGGTTTATGGTCTGGTCTAAGGGAGATAACTCTGCACAGACGCACTTGCCCTAGTAGCCATTTAACTAGTTAGGATGTGGTGTGCAATGGGAGCCACAATTTTCTTGCTGTTACACATGATGGAGGCGGTCAGTCTTCATCAAGAAGAGTTGTACCCAAGATGTCTTCATGGATTGTTCTGTGAGTCATTGCACTTTGCTGACTAACACTTAACAAAATCTTGTTCACTAAGAGCTGCACTAGTTTTTGAGAATACTGTTATGATGTAAATGTACATACCTTTTCCACCTTTATACGAAAATAGCATTTTAATGTGTTAGAAGGTATATTAATCAAGAATCGTTACAAAGAATTTCAGATGGCAGGCAACCTGAAACGGACGTCTTTCCTGGTTTTATTTTCATCTTTACTTCGTCAAGGACGGCAGTTTTGTTGTCCAGGCATAGTGTGTGTGACAGATTCAAGGCATATACAGATCATCATCATCATAGTCATCAGATTTTATCTCTAGATTTTTATGTTGGAAATTAATAAGACATTGTCAAATTCATTCTTTGAAGTTATTTGGTTTCATAGTGAAAGTAGTCTGCTGGTTAGCCATATTAATATTTACAGAAGAGAAAGAAAAATGGTATTTCTTGTAAATAATACCATCAGATAGGAAACAGTAAGATGTGATAATTTTGAAGTATTTTACGGTTATATATGCCACATTCAGAGCTGCCCAAATTATTATTTTTGCAGAAACATTGCAATACTGCCATTGATAAAGTGAAGTATATTTTGATATCATTGACAAGTGATTTGACTTTGTTGCAGGGTTAGTCATAAGTACAGCCAATTAATATTCAATTAATAAAAAATCATGATTTAGCTTGTGATTTGAAGATCTACAGATCTTGTGTTTGGTTGAGAACAGCAATGCTAAACACAAGTTTTTAATTATATTTGTCAAACCCATACACAATCATGCTAGTGGTTACTATGTATCTAGGGCGAATTTTTGTATATTTTACGGACCCCATTTGTCCCAGATATGCCAACTGTTGGTGTATTGTTTGTTTTTTTAAAAACATTGAAATCAGAGGGAACAGATACGCCAGAATCTTGGATGTGTATTCTGTAAATATCTTCGAAGAAGTGTGTACAGATGTGATGTTAAGTTTTGAAATTGATTTCTTCGTTGTACAGGTCATTGTTTGCTGAAAATACAGAAAGTATATATTTTTAAGATTTGATCGTTTCTGTCTCAAAGACTTATCCCACTTTCATTGTAGTAAGGAGTGTCCCATGAACTGGTGTGATCTAAGTTTTGGCAATATGTTCATAATAACTCCTCAACATCAGATGATTATGTATTATCATTTTTATCACGAAGATAATTTTTCGTTCTTCAGACAACAAGTACTATCGGTACATTAAGTTATTTTGATTAAACAGTTGCTTGTTTTCTGTGCTAAATAGATTACATTTGATGTAAAAGTTGAGATCGTTCCAAATCACTGAATATTCTCATTTTATCAAAATGTCATTTATTTGGTTTGTTGATGAGTATGATATTTTTCGGTCCCGGTTAGTGTTGTTTTTGTTTGTGTCTCAACTCCATGAGGAACATATCTCACATTAGTTTTGAAACAAGGCCCAATTCCTAGTCTCTTTGTTGTGCTTCCTTGGATTTAAAAAAAAAAACTTTTTTATTTTTTTTCAAAATTAACTTAGCTTTTCATGGATTTTGTTCAACGATTTTCTTCTATATTTTTATCTCCTAAATTGAAATCTTGGCCCCAACTACTGTAAAGCAACTTATCTAAACTTCGAAGGGATGGCCAAACCTTTGTGACTGCTCCATGAGGTAGATAGATACCACGTCATGTATGATTAACGTTCTGTGATGTTTTAGTCTGAAGAGGTTTATTTTTCTACAAGGCCAACTGTTTTTGTTTTTGTTCATGGATTTGCCTTGTTAGTGTGCTGAAATACTGAAAGTGGGGACAGATCCATTTGTTTCCTAAATATGTCTTGACATGAAACTTAGTGTACTTGGAGTGAATACTGTTCTTGCAATTAGACTGGCTTGTCCATTGGACAACAAAACAAATTGGTATGGCCTCTTTTTTGCATGCAAGGGTGTATATTTTGTTTTTTAAAATTCCTGAATTATTCTTTTACATTTGCAAATTTCCACTAAATTATGTGAGTTCTGCTGAAGTTGTAATTGACTGTAGAAAAATGTCTTCCTACGGTCAGTGCTTAGAAATTGTTAGTCTTGATATAGTCAGAAATTTCATAAGGGTCCAATCGGCTAAAACAATTGCACATTTTGATAACGCCTTGACATAAATATTTTGTATGAAAATGAATGGTAAAATATTAGGCTTGGTCCAATTGTTTCATATTTCTAATTGGTTTAGGTGTCCTTATTTCATACACTCCAGATTAGCATCATAAGTGCCAATCAGCAAGGACAAGTTTCTTGTTTTCACGTTATTTTGCAATCAATCTTTGTCTCTCCAGAATTGCTATCTTCTATTACAGGCCTTTGTTTGAGGGCTCTTTTCCGACTTGTGTTACACTGTACGATGGTCGTGTATCTTGTAGGAACGCAGCTGGGATGAGTGAGTGTCTCCCAACAGGGACAATAAACCAGAATACATCCACACAGTCTTCTGTCATCTAGCAAGCTGTAAATACTGAGAATTGTTGGTGTTCGATATGCGGGGATGTTGCAGCACCCAGTCAGATGCTGCAGTAGTCCAGCTACAGTATGCAGTAAATAGTATGTCCTAGGTTCAATATGCTTTTCGACTCTGCGATGGTGGTCTTTAAGAAGTCAGGAATATACAATCCAGTGATTACACCGATCTGAATGGATATGAACAAAACAACAACAAGCCTGTCCACATAATCCTCTAAATCGCCTCTTACAACAAGCATGGGTTACCTCAGACCAGTTAGAGAACCTGTTCACTGAAGGCAACAGTCATTGGACAATGATTGCTCATACCTTTGATGCCATTCATATATTTTGAGGCTGACAGAAACAAAAGAAAATCATATGGGTGACCAATCAATGTGAACTGGATTCGAACACGACCACGTTTCTGGCACATCTAAGGTGCAACTTGGCACAGTGGAGTGCAGCACATCAAGTTGTCTTGAAACTCAATCATCCACATTCACAGCAGTGCAACACAAAGGCATCTCGAGCTGAGAGCTATTAATTTATTCATGTTTTACCTGATGAGGAAAGGGTAATATACAGTACACAGAACATAAATACAACACGAATCTCTAGCCTATGTAGCAATGGCGTTTTACATGCACATACATCGCCCCACTCCGGGAGCAGGATCTTGTTCACACATACATCGCCCCACTCCGGGAGCAGTATCTTGTTCACACATACATCGCCCCACTTCGGGAGCAGGATCTTGTTCACACATACATACCTTCACAACAAACGTGAGTTATTTCACTGGAATAATATTAAAGGTTCACATTTTATCGTCAGTACTTCACAGATCTGAATTCAAGTGTAGTTATTTCTTACAAACAAATCAAGTGTTCTGGTTGAAGCACAATGTAAACAAGCAAATGCTTCGACCAATTAACTCACTGATTAGCAAACATCAATGTATCATGATTTTTATTGTGCCTGAAATTTGGATATTCAATGTCAGACTTTGTGTGAACCCTGCCAGTGCCTGACTTGGTTGACAGCTATGTGTTATGCTATATGTTGTGCCACAAATGTAGATATCGGCTCCAGACATTTAGAGGCAGGGTTTGTACCAGGCTGACAAGTAGGGCTCAGTGTTAGGCGACAGTTTACTGAAATAATGATCTTAATTAACTGTCACCTACATAACAGGACGAGCCTAATGTATACAAAATCTGTGAAATACTGACGACTAATTTTTCTATCTAATTACATGGTGGAATACATTCTAATTACATGCTACTGACGTATGTGAGTTGGGTTTTATGCCATTTTGGATTCCAGCATTACCATGGCGATAGACATCAGCAATAGTCTTCACCATGTTGCGCAAAAACAAACTTTGAGGGAATAAGCCATTGAAATTGCTTTAAAAAGGTACCAATAATAGAATGACATTGTAATTATACCTGATAATAGATAAGCCATGGATTGTATAAAGATATGAAGATTAAATGCACAGCCAAGTTTTTAATAGGTGAGGGACAACAACCCTGTCATCTGAGAGTTTCAAGGTCTTGGATTTAGCCCTCTATGAAAAGGTAACACTCTGACGACTCATGCAAATGACTATCAGTAGAAGGGTACCTGGAAGGATATGTCAATAACCATGCTAAAATGATTGCAAAGTAGTTTACATCTGAAAAGGATATTACTGGTCATAAATGCCTTTTGTTTAAACATATCTCTTAAAAATAGAGCTAAATTGGCTGTTGACAAAATCAAAAGGAAACTGCTCAAATACTTGTTTACAAGTCACACACTAACATTTTCTTGACCAACATTCGGTTACCATAGTTACCATACAAACACAAGTATACACAAAAGAGTGAGACGTGATACTTTTAGATGACTACCATAATATATTCATATACCGGTGTCATATTCACGATGATAGTACATGAAGTATTAATGAGCATGTTCCACAAAAATATCCACGAAATGAGTTTACAAAGAGGATCTACAGACCTGGCAGTTATATAATAAACAATTATCAACAATCAATATTACCAATATACTAACAAAGTTTGTCTAGTAAATAACTCCTTTTCCTAAAACATATGTAAAGTGGATTACAATCCACACTTCAAACTCTCACATTCATAGAGTTTGGCATTGAACCCTCACAACGTGATCGTTCTTAATGACATCTCTCTTCTACGATGGATTGCAGATTTCAAAATCAGTACATTAAAGGTCACATGCAACGTAAAACACAACTTTGCAGATTCTGATACCTAAACAAATCATAAAAAATGCAAATTCAACTTATAAAGTTGAAAAATAATGCGTTGTAAAAAAAACGCGCTTGGGGGAATTCAAGTGGTTTCAACAGCTATGCTGCGCTTCTAACGCATGCGCACTGATCAGGTAGAGGACTGGTGTTTGGTGTCAGTTTCTTCTGGATCGAAGATATAGCTTTCGGCAACAGTAGTCTCTTATTCAGCGTCTTCTTCCAGCAGCCATCACTAAAATGATCTGAGCATAATCGCGAATGCTTGTTGTATTGCCACCACGAGCGCTTCTCTCGAACAAACTGCATCCATTTTTCTCGGAGCACTGGATCGGACGGAAACCAGTGCAAACTCCGAATGTCAGTTTCAAGTCCTGCTTTGTACTTGGACGGACAACAGTTTCCAGACGCGCAGTAGTTCACCATCTCAGTATTTGTTGATTTGATCGAACGCAAATGCAGAAAAAATGAGCATGTATTTACAAAACCCAACATCTCTATATACACACAGCTGAGCGTATCGGCAAATGAACCAGCCAATTAAAAGTCTTCGTTACACTTGAGTGCACGCCCACCCGCTCTGACTGGGTTTGGTATCCCGGCTGCTTCGTTTCGAGGGAGGTAAACCCAAGTACAACATATTGCACTTTTGATTTGCGACTGTACGCTTATAAATTTGTATATTTGTTTTTTCATAATCAGCAATGCATATTATATGTCATGAATAAGTGATAATTGTGTTTTACTTATGTTTGATTTTTTGGTTGCATGTGACCTTTAAATGCATCATCAAGCTGCACGAGTGAGTGAGTTTAATTCCATGTTGTCATACCATGTCTTCTTAATGCAGTGGAATGCCCTTTGGTATATAACAATAACAGACATGCAATCAGGAATAAAATCGAACAAAATTTGGATTTAAACTCATGAACAGCAAATCCTGGCAGTAAGGGGACACAACTCAACAAAGAAAGTTGGCCTGCCATTTATGACCATGCTACCATTGTCCCTTACTCTAGTGTAAGTTTCCTCAAGTATTTCATCGTTCAAGTCCATGTTCAAACATTAACACATATATATATGTAAGATGACGACCGTATGGTGAAGCACCAGTTTGGAAATGTTCTTCCATTGTCGGACATCACACACGCACACACGCATCAAGCTCCTGACATCACACATCCGTCATCCACTTCTTCATTCTTCTTCCTGGAACAGAGCTTTTCCTCGATGGTTGAATACGTAGAAGGCTTGTCTGTTCGACAACATCTCCCATGTTCTGGAAAACAGTGTGGACAAATGATCAATTAAAAGCTTACATATTTAGAACAAAAACAGGAAAATATCTAAATCAGAATATAGTGTACATAATGAGACTTCAGATTTGCAGATGTCATTGTGACAACTCAACAACAGTAGTATAGATGATGGTGGTACGACCGTGCAAAGGAAAAATAATGATAAAATAAGAAGGGAAAAAAAAAGAGAAGAGGTGCATTCGTGCAATTGAGTATATAGAGACACTTTTTTGTCTTCCTTGTTCTCAATAGTCGACCTAACACCAAGATAGGTATACGGAAAACAAAAAGGAGTCCAGCACAGAAAAAAACAACAACAGTATGTTGATGGGTGTTTGGACCACTCCCCTTGATCGTGTTGTTTCTATGCCTCCTCCAAACTGGGGCTTCCCCCAAGGAAAACCACCAGCAAAGGTACACTCCAATTAGAGATATACAGGTACAGAGGTATAGAACACAACAATGCCAGGAACCAAGCTATTGCGCGAAGCCTATGCTGAGATCCCATTGGGTTGTTTGCCCCTTCAGGAGGCGAAGAGGAAGTACCACATATCACAAGCCAGGCATACGCGAATCCGGGGCAGCTACTACACATACAGAGACAATTTCCGACATTGCATTATTTTTCCTTTGCATGCTCGTACTACCAACGTCTCTGCTACTACAACTCTCATGAAGCTTAAAATCCACCCTGTTTTATCTCATATACAAGTGTTTGCCACTAACATTGCAATGTCCTCTGCCCCTAAAGAAGAATGAAATATAACATATTTACTACTTTTTATCTTTTGGTCACATAGAAGATAACCTTCTGTGTGATGTAGTTTTTAGTCATGGTCACTTCTTTTATCTCTGAGGTGAGGTGAAATGGGGTTTAACGTCGCACTAAAGATTATTTCGCTCATATGGCGACGTGCATGCGAGTGTATGTGTGTCAGACACATTATACTGACTCTGAGCCGACCAGTCCTTGTTGTGCCCATTAATGCCGACGCCATGAAGGGACCAACAACTACCACATATTAAGTACGATGTTTTGGTATGACACAGCCGGGGATCGAACCCGCAACCTTCCGCTCCTAACTTTGAAGATATTTCAGGAACATAGTAATGGAATGTATAGATGCAGATGCACATATCCACTGTCAGTATCAGTGTGTATTAGGGCTGGGACAGGCCCAAATTTTCTACCCAGGAACCCCACCCCCTGATGGACAGACGCTGCTGAATACAAAGTCCTCCGTTCCGTGTTGCATAAATTATGAACGGTCCCTTACCATGAAAGAAAACATTCAATTAAAACACTTCTTTATCAAACCTTCCCATTTTGAAATTGCAAAATACCAATCTTACATCTTTAATGCTACTAAATAATAAATTGTGGTTTCTGTATTACTAATAGCAAGCATGGAAATATATTTTATCTGGAAAACGTCCATGTATTGTCAAATTTTAGTAGCACAGGTTCATTGTTGAGCAAGTATGTCGCAATACTTGGTGTGCAGAACAAATATCTGTGCACTTTAGACTGACTGACTGACTGAGTTTGGTTTTACGCCGCTTTTAGCAATATTCCAGCAACATCACGGCGGGGGACACCAGAAATGGGCTTCACACATTGTACCCATGTGGGGATTCGAACCCGGGTCTTCGGCGTGATGAGCCAACGCTTTAACCATTAGGCTACCCCAACGCCCCTGTGCACTTTAGAACAAACGTTGCATTTTCTAAAAGGATGTCAGTTCATATGTTGCAGGATGGCCATGCTAGATGTTCTTTGTGTGTGTCATTGAAAGTATTCACAATCATCATTGACTCGAAATTTGTCACCCCAACCCACAGTAAACAAAACAAATGCTAGACTCCCCCCAATGTCACTTCTATCCTTCTTCTGATAGAGGCAGATAAACTAGCGAACAAAAGAGTGGTGCTGACTAACCAGAGCTATCATCAGGTTCTGGCACATCTAAGGGACATAATTAGCATATTGTGGCACTTCGACCATATGACCAAATGTGTGCCTTCCAAATCACTTGAAGGTACGCAAATAGTGAACTCACTTATTCTCCAGTTCAGCACTAGCCTTGATTTCCCTGAAACTACCAGAAACGTTGACAACACCGTAGCCAGTGGCCAGAAGACCAATTATAGACTGCACTAGGATCTGTAACAAAAACAACAGGTTTGTTTGTTATTTAACAACTTATAATTTTCTTATGGTTACTCCATGGTTAAGTGATCGTTAAAGAGGATGACACGTCCAGATGTTCATACTACCCAACAGCACCGTGTACATTCAAGGTAAACAGTTATCACTGAAGCCAATGCCAGTCCCAGATACTTACATCAATAGGCAGACGTGTAAATTCCTTCTCTGTAAGCCGCAAGTAGGTTCTGTCTGTAAGTAAAATGACACAGAATTAGAATCAGAGTTGAACATAGAGAATTTTCTGGGTTTCATCTTCTTTTTATTGTTTGGTACAAGTTTCAGGGCTTGTTCTGGCCCCATTATCAGGGGCCAGTTCTATCTCATGATGTTCCAGAACAAGCCCTGAAATGTTGTTAAAAGTTTTGTTAAATATTTTTCAACAAACTCCTCCCTGAGGTCCAGACACTTCAGCCAACAATACAATGGTGCAGACGGCTTCCTCCTGGTTGTGAAGACTGTCCTCTACAGTAGAATTTATTCATCATTACTGACATACTGCCTGCCAGACAGTTCCATCCTCAACATGCCCAAGTTTGGGAAGAGTTGGAAATCTGACGGAATGACACTGGGTGAATACTGACATCCAATGAGCTCAAAGCCAGTCTTGAACTTCAGCCATGGTGACAACACACTTGTACACAGAAGTACTGTTCTGGTTCTGGTGCTATGGGGGTTTGTCTGTATTACAGTATAGCAGTAAACCAAAGACTCATCCATGGTTACAAATCCCTTGGTTAACTGAAGTGGGTCTGTCTCCTTCAAAACAATCTAACTTCAAACAAAAGATGATGAACCTGGAGCGTTTCTGTTCAAGAGTCAGAAGGATTAGAGCATAACTTACTGAATATTTCATGTCCAATTCCCATGCTTACAGGCTACATTTGAATAAAGTACAAAACTAGGCAGCATATTTATGCAGGCATCAAAATGGTATTCTTTGTTAATGTGAAGATAAAAAAATGGCTACTATCCTACTGTGATATCAACATGTTTCTCAAACTAAATGGGCTAAACTTTAAGGGATGATGATCCTTCCTGTGGGACAGTCGAGTTCGATAGATAATATACCTCAGAAATGTTGCAAGACCTTCAACTACCACTACTAAGGAAAATGTTGAAAAAATACATGATATGATTTATGGGTTATCAGGAACAGGTTAGATAGTCAATATAGTAGACAAGTCTCATGAAAGAGTGAAGAGCATTCTGTAAAAAGTACTGCACTTAATTTAATGTAAAATGAAACTGCAAAAGATGTATCATTCTTTGTAGTTGGGCTCAGAACATTTCAGGCACCCATTGTATCAAAGACTGCAGGATTGAATCAAGTTGCTAACGGTTTAAAGATTCCAGACAAGGACTGCTAGTCAAATCAGGCTTATCTGGTGACAGCGACGCTGACTAAAAAATGACCAGATGACACCAATTCCATCACTCTCAGTCTCAGAAGCTTTCTCCTTACTATTGACAACCGAATGATGGAGTCATGAAATGGCGAGGTTACATGTATGTACTGAATTCACTTGGAAACCCTCTTAGTGCTGCAGCTTTCATGTCACAGCTAACAGCCAAATATCGCAATGTAAACGGACCCTGATAAACTGCATTGTAGCATTACAGAAACACAAATTCCCCGGTCTACTGAAGAAATTCTATCTTTGCGAAAACGCGTTGTCACGCGTGGGAGGACAACATGGAGTAAACAGACATAAAATTAAGCTGTGTAGTTAAAAAAACGTTCTTCCGTCAAAACGACGCAAATATCTTACGCTGTGCCGCAGAATACGCCGCGTGAGCAAGAGCAATAAGCCCAACAGCGACACACAATTTGTGATAGAACCCCATGTTTCTTGGCCGTAAAGTGACTCGCCGGAAGTCGTCCGCATATTGCTTTCTGGTATTTATTTACGACATTAATTTATATACGATTTATAGTATAATCTCGATGTAGAGATACAAAATGCCGCTGATAATAAGCCCCAATTCTTATCGATTGATATTTTACTAATAACAGGCGTACACAAAATATTTCACTAGACTGAAAATACACCAAGGTGAAAACAGCACCGTACAAAACAGTACAGTAGAAATGGCGTTACATGTGGGTTTTCCCTTTGCACTCTTATTCATTTTCATTCATTTTACGGATCTTAAACCAAATTCTCTTTATGCATTATGAAATTTTAAGATAATTCAAACTACCTTACACTTTGCATGCATGTGTTTGAGTGTGTGTGGATGTCTGTGTGTCTTCAACTTAGCAAGATTGTCTGTAAATAAAGGAGTCTAGAACAGACATTCTACTTATGGTCGTCCAGCTTGATCATCTGATCCTCGGGAATAAGTGAGGTGAGGTGAGGTGAAATTGGGTTTAACGTCGTGCTTGAGAATATTTCGCTCATATGACGACGTGCATGCGTGTGTATGTGTATGTGCGGCTGCTTGTACTAGCCCAGACTTAAGCTGGTTTTATAGTGCTAGCTCACTGAGATACCATGCCGCAGTGAAGCATGAATACCCCACTCAGACACAATATACTGACTCGAGCCGACCAGTCCTTGTTGTACCCATTAATGCCGAGAGCCAGGCAGGGACCAACAAGTACCATATTTTAACGTCTTTTGGTATGACGCAGTCGGGGATCGAACCCGCGACCTTCCGTGCTCTCTGTGCGGACGCTCTAACCACTACACCACGGAAGCGGTCAGGGAATAAGTGATATCTTACAACCAATATAGGTTGTTTGGGACCTATTCTTACTCAGATCCCTAAAAGTACATATTGTTATAGGACTCATGAAATAGAAATACAGAAGTTTGGAAAGATTCTATTATGTTTTATTTCAGTTCACAGAATGATATTTTGAAAAGCAATGTCATGACCACCTTCCAGTATTCTGGGTAATACATTTCCGTAAGACCCGTGAAGATCTGAGTTAGAACTTGACATCAACAACACATGCTTGTCATAAGAGGCGACTAATGGGATTGGGTGGTCAGGCTCGCTGACATATGTTGCATAGATCGATGCTCATGTTGTCTGGACTGGACGGTATGGTCCAGACTTGATTATTTACAGACTGCCACCATGTAGCTGGAATATTGCTGATTGTGGTGTTAAACAACAAACAAACATCTACATGATGATAAATAATATGGACCATTTGCCATCACAACACTGTTTTGGGAGTGACAGTTTCCCCTTCTCTATCAATAAGTATCAGTTATGCAACTGGACTGATATTTATATTATCGTACTCAGGCAGTTGTTACAAGTAGTAAATATGTCCTATGTACATATTACAAAGGCAAGAAGACATAATACCCTAGAGCAAGAGATGAGTTTTAGAAATATTCACAGCAAAACACACCAGAAATGGGCTTCACACATTGAACCCATGTGGTGAATTGAACCCAGGTCTTTGGTGCAAGAAGCAACCCCTTTACCATCAGGCTAGACCACCGCCCCTAATATCCTGGACAATATGTGATGTGTTAGTAAGAATAACACAATGGGGTTCAGTTGATCTATGAAGTTTTATATTTTCACCATTGATAACTTTGTGATCTCTCCTATTGGTATCAATGCTAGCGATCTGTAGTTGTGATTTTCCAGCATGTTTTACAAAGGACACAGAGTCCGGTATTAACGTTTATTTCGAGTTCTCCTGAGATAAAGGATGGTTAAGTCCATCATCTATATTTTCAGCAATAAGATGATGGTAAGTAAATAATAGAGTCTGGACCAGAAAACCCAGTGATTCCTAAAATGAGCAACGTTCAACGAAATCAATGTATGGTGAGACACATTCAACAAACACATGAAGATCTGGGTTAGAACTGACTCAAGGGATCGGTCGGTCAGGCTCGCTGACTTGGTAGACACATGTCACCGTATCCATTTTCATAGATCGATGCTCATGTTGTTGATCACTGGATTGTCTGGTTCAGACTTGACTCTTCACAGACCGCCGCCGCCATGTGATATAGCTGGAATATTGCGGAGTGCAGCGTTAAGCAACAAACCAACAGTCAACCAAGTCACTGAGTCTGAACACCAGATACTGGTCTTGTGGGTCCAGGATCTATATCTTAAGCAATATTTCAGCAATATGGTGGTAATATGGTGGTAAGTAAATAATCGAGTCTGGACTAGACAGCCCAGTGATTAATAAAATTAGCAATATTGAAGGCCATCAATGTATGGTGAGACACATTCAACCAGCCGGCAAAGATCCGGGATAGAATTGATCTTCAGGCGTAAGAGGCGACTCAAGGGATCGGGTGGTCAGGCTTGTGGACTTGGTTGACTAATGTCATCGTATCCCAATTGTGTAGATCAATGCTCTTGCTGTTGATCACTGGATTGTCTGGTTCAGACTCAATTATTTACAGAACGCTGCCATATAGCATGAATATTGCTGAGTGCAGCATTAAACAAAAACGCCAACCAATATTCAACCAAGTCACGGAGCCTGAACACCAGATACTGTCAGCCGTAATGACCAGCACAGGGAACAGAGCCAGGATCCACCAGGCTCAGAAACATCAAGCCAAGTTCCATACAAAGACACTATACATGTTCAAATTTAGCAACATAGGTTTATATATTATCAGTTGTAACACAATAAATTCACAGAACATTATAAAGCATAATTCTTCATGACCTGAATAAATGTCTATGTGTACACATACTTAACAACTGTCAGTAATTCCCACTATTGAAACATATGTCAGTTTCATTAAACAACATGCCATAATATCTGCCCACACTCAAGCTAGGACTGTGCTGCACTGACGTCTGACTCAATTTCATTTGAATGAATGTCTGGCAAACCATTGAGAAAGACCGCTAGAAATCTTCTGAAAACATCAGCCTCATAGTCTATGTACTTTGTATTTTCATACTCCTTGCCTAACCATGGTTGTGAAAGCTCTTTCTTAAACAAGTGATGGTCCCCACTAAACCAGGCCATGTTCTTTATACCATCTCTGGACTTAAAGTCTGCTGTGTTCAGCTGGAAGAATATGAAGTTGACAGTCGTAGGGTCCATGTTAACACACTGAACACTGACAGGCTCTGGCAGCTGTTTCACATCTATCCCATACAGTTTCCTTGCTTGCGATAAAGCTGTGGCTAGACAGAACAGAAGGCAGCGAGCTTGGCGCTGGTCTGTGTTCCAGTAATTCTTGTTCAGCATGAAGAGAGTTTGTGGGATGCCATGACTATGAGGTTTGTTTAGATGTGTGACTGTGTCCAAACTGTAACAGTTTGTTGGTGACAGATCAATCAAGGGAGATATTGGACTGATGTCTGCTAGTGGCTCCACTGCTGTTGCATCAACCTCATCCTCGCTGGCAAATGGATTCAAACCTTTCTGACCAGATATAAGATATTCATACAGTCCTTGAACCGACACCATGTTGTCATCATGGAAGTAGTGTGTTCCAACGTATGGCTTGTACAGAAGGCGCCGATCTGTGGCAATACATGGATATGTTCCTGCAAGAGACTGGCAAAGTCGAATCATATTCTGGAGTAAAATTGTGGATGATTTTTCATTCTTAATGCCATACGCTGCCTGGAAATGCCAACCTACTTTACGTGTGTCTATTCTCTTTGGCAGCTTGTCTTTTGTTGGATCCCAGACCTGTGATTGCATGATATACCGCTGTACAAGGTTGTCTTGATTTGGAATTTCAACTGCACCTACAAGATTTTCAACATTCGATGGAAATCCCTTTATTGGTTGAGCTTTGGCTAAGATACTAGCCTGTTGAACTCCTTTCAGAAGACGAGTTTTGGGAGTGACAAGGTGAGTTGGTTCGTCGTGGTAGTTTGACTGTTCTTCCATTGGCATTGGGCGCCAAAAGCGGGGATCGTCTGCCACCGGTGGCGTCCAAGTCACCTTTGACAACTCTTGTCCCTTCACAGGGTCAACTATCTCAATCCCTTGGTTCAATCTTTCTCGTGATATGTTGACAGGATATTCGGTAAAGGAGCCATACTTTTTCCATGCTTTCTTCCACATGCGCACCAGATTCCGTCTGCATAGTTCATTTGTTAGTCTCATGGTGAAGTTACAGTTCTAAGAAACAAACGAAAGCGTTAATTGAAGATCACTGAAATCTGACGGACATGTGTTGAAGAGCTCCTTACAGCGACATTACCAGTGTTCGGCGAAAAGCCGGATGAGAAAAACGCTGTAGGTGAGCTTTCACGCAAAAGTCCTTATCCTCACACCGTACATATCCTTTCTGGTTATTACAAATATTTACCAAACCGGCACGAATAAGTGGAGTGAGTTAATTGGGTTTAACGCCACGTTGACCAGCTTTTTAGTTAAACATATCTCGATGTGCCATCTCAATGTGGGATGAATGTCAGATGGGAGAAACAACAAGTATAAGTTATATATCGTGAAGCCTTCAAGAGAGCAAGTGTCTTTTTAGTCTCCAGTTCATTTACGCTCAAAGGCTTGACGTTGTTTTCATAGCGTAATGCTTACGTGAGAAATTGTGGCATTGTCATGTGTACTGTTATCAAAGACTACATCAGCTGATCGTACAAGCTGACCTAGCAGACGTGTATAATAAACTGGGTTAGTTTCATCAGACTTGGTTTCATCGGACCATATATGGTCTTCTGGTGAACAGGGAGACCCATTCACAAGAACAACTGATTTAACCTATCGAAAATAATGATGGATACAAAGTGATAAAACGTACATTCAGTGTGCCAAATAGCCACTGACCAGCTAGCCCGTGGCTAGTAAACATCCAGTCGGGCCAGGAAATTTCCACAGTCACTGGCCCGACTGGCTAGTGAATTTTCATGTGGTCATTTTGTATATAATATCACTCTGTCCGACTTATTAAGTTATAATACAATTTTAAATCATGCAAGATTATGGCCTGATATAAATGTCATCATATTAACAGCCTATTGATGAAACCCGGGTCATGCCGACAATATCTGCTTCTCATCTATTTTTGTAATCTTATACTCAGTTTTACATTCAGATTTCGGTTAGTAAATTATTTTGTGGGCTAGTAGCTTCAAGCAAAGCTAGCCCCTCTAGCCCTCTGGAAACTATTTCGCACACTGGACCGTACATTAATTATTCAGTAGAATCTCTCTGTAAAACTTACTTACACAAACATATTTCTCCATATGGTGAGAAGGGCACACATGGGTCGACTTTCTTCGCCCCGAGAACATAAGGACAACACAATTATGTGAGGCAGGCGGGGATGAAAATGCAATTACTGACTTATATATGTTGAAAGTCAAGTGACTCTATCGTAACTGTTTAAAGAAAAGTAGAGTTCGTTCTGTACAGCACCGGAATCCTGGTCGCATTGCTGGGGGTAGGTAAATGTTTAACCTGCGTTATTGCGATCCATTCCGCGGCAGATACAACAATGCATGTACAAGGACATGCAATCAACAAGTTCATACAATGTGACCACCCGATCCCCTTTCAGTATTCACCTAGGACAGAGGCGGTGGGATAGCCTAGTGGTTAAAGCGTTCGCTCGTCACGCCGAAGACCCGGGTTCGATTCCCCACATGGGTACAATGTGTGAAGCCCAGTTCTGGTGTCCCCCTCCGTGATATTGCTGGAATATTGCTAAAAAGCGGCGTAAAACCATACTCACTCACTCACTCACCTGGGACAAGCGTGGAGTTCTGGGTCCTATTCTTACCACAAATAGCTTAGAGGTTATTTGATTTGGGTCAGTTAAATAAAGATTCTACCATGACATTTTAGTATGTTCGTTTTTGATTGGCTGTTACTAAGAAAAATAGAAGTGAAAAATTTCAATAACCACTTCTGAGAGCCGGTTCACTGCGCGTAGTGTCAAAACACTACGCAAGGGTAATGAGTGCATATTTAAAACGCGTTTTATTCATGGTGCATATGTCATGGTAGAATGGAGATAAATCCTATTGTGTTTACATTTTGGAAGTGATTATAGTTGGTTGAACGCTGCTAAATGTTTCATTTAAAACCGAACGCTAACTATAATCACTTCCAAAATGTAAACACAATAGGATTATCTCCTAACTGGCCCAATATTGTACTTTCGGTTATAAAGAGCATTCCTCCAAAGTCACGTGGATAGAGCGTTTGTCAGGAGAGAGAAAGTCTGTGGTTCGACCCCTCACCATTTCGTACTAAAAGAAACTAAATCTGTACATTTCCTGAGGTTCGGCATTAATATGTATAAAAAGAAAACTGAAATTGGGTTTAACGTCGCACTTGGGAATATTTCGCTCATATGTGCATGCATGTGCGGCTGCTTGTACTAGCCCAGACTGAAGCTGGTTTTATAGTGCTAGCCCACTGAGATACCATGCCGCAGTGAAGCATGAATACCCCACTCAGACACATTATACTGACTCCGAGCCGACCAGTCCTTGTTGTACCCATTAATGCCGAACGCCAGGCAGGGACCAACAAGTACCATATTTTAACTTCTTTTGGTATGACGTGGTCGGGGATCGAACCCGCGACCGTCCGCTCTCCGGGCGGACGCTCTAACCACTACACCACGGAGGCCGTGTGAAAACAAGGACAGGTCGGTTTGTAGTCAATATGCAGTATTGGTTTGACATGGTATCTGAGCCAGCACTGAAAAGTTGGTGTAAGTTAACCTTAGTGCTAAGGTTGTTTTGTACAACGGCACCCAGTGCATGCAGCAACACAAACTAACATGCTGGCACATCACAGTAGAAGTGCACTAATCTTGAACCAAACTTCAAGTTGTATCCTGTTGAAATACGGATCGGCTTTTTCTTCGCGGAATAAAAAATTGGCAATTGTGGACCGTTATATTTACTTTTACTTGTGTTCCGTGCTATTCTCGCTGCGCGAAGCGATACCAACCAGACGATGGAAAAATGATAAACTGCATGTCAAAACAAAGGGTATACTATAAAGTGGTGTGTACACAAAATGACATGGTTGTGTATTAATGCTTACACCCCTTCCACCTTACAGACAGAGCCTCTTCATCCGTGAAGATCCGGGGTAGAATAGGGTTTCAGCAACCCATGCTTGCCATAAAAGGCGACTATGCTTGTCGTGAGAGGCGACTAACGGGATCAGGTGGTCAGGCTCGCTGACTTGGTTGACACATGTCATCGGTTCCATATTGCGCAGATCGATGCTCATGCTGTTGATCACTGGATTGTCTGGTCCAGACCGCCGCCATATAGCTGGAATATTGCAGAGTGCGGGGTAAAACTAAACTCACTCACTCACTTACAGAGCCTCTTCGTTTGAATTGAGTGAATTGGTTTTGACAGGGCCTTGGAAAGTGTACCAGTTGAAATGTACGGGGAATCCCATATTAATTAATGCAGATCTATGAAGTTATGCACATGCTTATGACAAACCCCATTCGGGATGTATAGTCAGCACAAATCACGAACCCAAGCCAAACAAGTGAGTTCTCAATAGGTGGTTGAATCGGGTTTAAACCCACCGAGTAGAGTATCTGTGAGAAAATGATGCAAGTCTGCGACATTTTGGTGAACCACACACACCAGTAATACCCTAAACCGTAATAAGGCCCACGAGGGATTCGAACCGATGGTGACAGAGGTGAAGTGAGGGAGGTGAGTTTCAACATAGGATTTAAGATTATTGCACTCAGTTGTGTGGAAGTGTGTGGATCCTTGGACTGAAACTGACTTTAGTTTGTAGCCTATTGATGTATTGGCTCATCATTTCTTCCTTTAATGCTGAACCCTGACAGGGTAACATCACTATCAATCCTTGAATGCAGCTTGGTATGACAAGGCCAGGGACTGAACCTTCTGCTCTCTGGGCAGCCAGTCTATCCACTAGGCCATGAATACCGCCAGGGGACTGAACAGCCGACCTTCTACTTTAATGCTGAACTCTCAGGGCAGACACCATAGATATCCACTAGACCATGGAGGCGGCCAGGGACTGAACAGGCAACCTTCTACTTTAATGCTTCTCGGCAGACACTATAGATATCAACTAGACCATGGAGGCGGCCAGGGGACTGAACAGCCGACCTTCTACTCTCTGGGCAGACACCATAGATATCCACTAGACCATGGAGGCGGCCAGGGGACTGAACAGCAGACCTTCTACTTTCTCGGCAGACACTATAGATATCTACTAGACCATGGAGGCGGCCAGGGGACTGAACAGCCGACCTTCTACTTTCTCGGCAGACACTATAGATATCTACTAGACCATGGAGGCGGCCAGGGGACTGAACATCCACCATCTCTGGGCAGCCAGTCTATCCACTAGGCCATGAATACGGCCAGGGGACTGAACCACCAACCTTCTGCTCTCTGGATAGACACTGGACAGATGCTATAGATATCCACTCCACCATCTCTGGGAAGCCAGTCTATCCACTAGACCATGGAGGCGGCCAGGGGACAGAACCACCAACCTTCTAGTCTCTGGGCAGATGCTCTATCCACTAGACCATGGAGGCGGCCAGGGGACTGAACAGCCGACCTTCTACTTTCTCGGCAGACACCATAGATATCCACTAGACCATGGAGGCGGCCAGGGGACTGAACCACCAAACGTCTTGTCTCTAGGCAGATGCTCTATCCACTAGACCATGGAGGCGGCCAGGGGACTGAACAGCCGACCTTCTACTTTCTCGGCAGACACCATAGATATCCACTAGACCATGGAGGCGGCCAGGGGACTGAACCACCAACCTTCTGCTCTCTGGACAGACCCTCTATCCACTAGACCATGGAGGCGGCCAGGGGACTGAACCACCGACCTTCTACTCTCTGGGTCAACACTCTATCTACTAGACCATGGAGGCGGCCAGGGGACTGAACCACCAACCTTCTGCTCTCTGGACCAAATCTCTATCTACTAGACCATGGAGGCGGCCAGGGAACTGAACCACCAACCTTCTACTCTCTGGGCAGATGCTCTGTCCACTAGACCATGGAGGTGGCCAGGGGACTGAACCACCGACCTTCTGCTCTCTGGGCCAACTCTCTATCCACTAGACCATGGAGGCGGCCAGGGGACTGAACCACCGACCTTCTGCTCTCTGGACCAACTCTCTATCCACTAGACCATGGAGGCGGCCAGGGGACTGAACCACCAACCTTCTACTCTCTGGGCAGATGCTCTGTCCA